TAATTAGACTTTCAGGCTAAGCTCAAGTGGAAGACATACTGAAGGAGCTGAGCCAGAAGGCCCAGGGCTAGATGACAGTGGTGAGAGAGCTAGGGCAGAGTAGAGTAATAGACGGTTTTAAAAGTCTGGAAGTTTCCATGGTGATACACACCCTTGGTCCTAGCACTCAGGAGGCAGGTGGATCTCTGAGTTTGAGGCCAGCCTGGTCTACAGAGTGAGTTCTTGGACAGCCAGGACTACACAGAGAAACCCTGTCTCGAGAAAAACAAATTCTGGAAGTTCAGTATTTTGAATTAGCTTTTGCACTAGGCCTTAATGTTCCAGATTATAAAGAAAACTGCTGATTTTTCGACTAACTGAAACTAGGTTATCATCTTAATAGAAATCAAGGCAGGAAGAAAGGATGGCCCATATTCCCCAATAGGCAACTGTAACTGGCATGATGATGAGGTTGCCTGGTAATCCTGTAATCCTTACCAAAATGTAACCTGAAGAACCTGATGTGTCCCTCGCCTGGCAGGCGGCACATGCCAGTAATTCCAGTGCTCTGGAGGGTGAGAAAGGATTGCAAGTCCTGGGCTATACAGAGATCATGTCTCACGTCCTCACCCTTCTACACACACACACACACACACACACACACACACACACACACACACACACACACACATACACACACCCTCAGCCCCTTTCTTCCCCCAGCCAACACATAAACTTTGAAATGAGCAGGCAGCTTCTTGTGGTTATAATTACCTATTTCAAGGTCTTGTCTTTAAACATTCCTTTCTGCATTTGTCAGCCATTTTCTATAAATCCAACTTCTGCTCAGTTAGCAGAACACTTTATTTTACACAGTGAACTGATGCTCTTTCCCGGAAACACTGTGTCATACACCTATAGTCACAGCCCTTGGGAGGCTTGGGCAGGATTATTGTGTTTGAGTCTGAGACCAATCTAGGCTACACAGTAAGTAAATTCTAAGTTAGCCTGGTCTACATATTGAGACTCTGTCTTAAAAGACCAAAATAAAGTCTGAGGGAAGACATCTGCAGGTCTCATTCCTACCACCACGGTATGTTTTGACATCTGACCCCTCAGAGAGGCTTCTGCTTAGCCTGTTTCCAGAGAAATGCTCAGCAGCTGAGCCCGAGCACTGACACTGCTCAGCCCATGAGCCCCTGAGAACCTTACTTACCTCTGCTAACTAGTCGAGGCAGGCCCCTTTAAAGGCAGAACCCTGTATTAATACACCCCCATAGTGCTCTCATGTATTTTTAGCTAGTTCCTTATGAGGTAGGCTGAGTGTGCTGAGACGTTCCTGCCTCCCAGCTTTACCCTTAAATGAGCTCTGTGACCAAAATGTGTCTACTCTTTTCTCCAACTGTGAAGTCCAACTGGCACATGTGTTGAGGAATGGGCAGCTCCTGTATGAATATGTACAGGCTCCCTGGATATAATCCCCCTGGTTCCTCTGTCCAGTGTCAGAGGCTGTCGTGTACAATCATTCTTTGTCTCCCCTCTGCAGCCTAAGGAGCTCCCTTACCTGTTTTAGGGATCTCCATTCGAGTAGAGCTGGATTCTTGGCCTCCAAGTAGAAAAGGGTTTGAAGATGAGCCAGTTTGAAGAGTTAAGAGTTTATTTTTAAAAACCAAACATTTTAAGCACAGGATGTAGAAAAAGAGGACCAGGGGAAGAAAGTAAACTCTCTCCTAAATATGTGGCCTGGCATTTCAGAGTCACAGTTAAGTCAGTTGCACACCCCCCTCTCTGTGTCTCTCTCTCTCTGCCTCTCTTTCACACACACACACATGTACATACATACATACATACATACATACACACATACACACACACATACATTTCTGGTGGCTTTGGAACTTAGCCTAATGAGATCATGGCTAGTTTCTATGCATTGGAGAGGATCACAGCTAAGGTAAAGAAAGCCATAGGTCACAGGCTTACAGTAAGACATTTTTATTGTTAAAAAAAAAAAAAAAAAAAGGTTTAGTCTTATTTTGAAGTTCCCAGAAACTATTTAGGAGTAAGGTCGCACTTGAATAAGTTTAGGCCTTAAGCATGGTTCACTATTATTTTAACACAAAATATCTATAAATAAAAAGTGTAACTCCTAGCTGGCAATCTTTACCATAAATGCTAATTGTGCTGGAATTCCGTAGGAGGCCTCAACCAGCTTCCTGTTCCTTTTCATGCCCCGAGTGCAAAGAATGACAAGCAGAGGGTGAGGAGGAGAGATGCTGGCTGCTGGCTACTTAAGGCTGTTGTCATGTCAACATGCCACGGGTGCTACACACCTGTCCATCTGCCCGTGGAGGAGGATCTACCGGCACTGATGGCTGTGGAGGAAGGGGGGTCACCCTCCTGTGGTAAGGTGCCCACACCCTAGCAGATGATCCCACACCAGGAACAAACGGGCAGCTCTAACGGGCTTCAGGGTTATTGACGCTAAGAACAAAGAAAGGCGGACATGTTGGGAGGGAGGCAGGATGAGGGCACTAGGAGGAACTGGCAAATGGAGATGAGCAAATAGATCCTATAAATGTATATTTCCCAAAAATATAATGTTTAAAAAAATAAATAACAATATGGACCAGAAGGGGGACACCGGAGAACAGTGACACCATGTGTGAGGCTGCTGTAACAGCATGCCTTACTTTTTTTATGCTAGCCCAAACAGTTTTTAAAGATATGAACACAGAAATGAGCATGGGGGTGGGGTAGGTGTGACTTACTGGGAAAAGGTGCTCAGAAAACAAGGGAGGAGATAAGAGAGGATATGTGGGGCAGGCATGACCAGTGTTCAAGTCTGGTGAGAAGGCAAGAGGGCCACTCTGTAAGGTTAACATTTTAAAAATTAAAATGATTACACACAACATCATTGTATGACAAATCTCATTCCATAGTACACACCCTAGAGAAGTGAAAACTTAGGTTCACACATACGGTGACCTGTATACACTTGTTTATAGTGATTTTATCTATAATCCTCTAAACCCGACAACTCAAGTGAGCTTCACTGAATCCAGTGTGGCACAGCCACACACATCAACGTAGAGCAAAGGAGAGCGGCTGTGGGAAAGGTGCGCTCCAAGCCGCACGGAACAGCAGCAGCAAACCCATAGGATACACACAGCTACGAGCTCATCAGAGGCTGCACTAGGGTTGGGTTGGGGTCTGGCCACAAAAGGGACCAAGGACAGGATCTTTTGGGCAGTAGAACTGCTGGAGTCCTGATTTGTGATAAATACGTGAATCTGTGCACAGGCAGAGGCAGGCTGATCTGAGTTGGAGGCTAGCCTAGACTACATATCAAGTTACAGGGCAGCCAGAGTTACATAGGGAAATCCTGACCCAAAACCAATCTCAAAGAACTGGACTGGGGATTAGCTTGGTGGAAGAGCATCTGCCTAGCATGTGTGAGGCCTTAGGTTTGAGTCTCATTAGGGTAGGAAGACCCAGAGCACTGTGAGTTTGAGTTAACTGTATGTGCTAGAAGGGTTTTTGTTGGTTTTTTTTTTAAATTTTTTATTTATTTATTATATGTAAGTATTCTGTCGCTGTCTTCAGACACCCACAAGAGGGCATCAGATCTCATTACAGATGGTTGTGAGCCACCATGTGGTTGCTGGGATTTGAACTCATGACCTCTGGAGGAGCAGTCAGTGCTCTTAACCACTGAGCCATCTCACCAGCCTCAGTTGTTTGTTTTTTTTTAAGCTTTACTTTTATGTTCTGTGGATGAGTGTTTTCCCTACATGTATGTATGTGGACTTCATGTGTGCCTGGTGCTCTAAGAGACCAGAAAAGGGCAACAGATGCCTTGGCTCTGGAGCTATAGACAGTTGTGAGCCACCATGTGGGTGCTGGGACTCAAACCCAGGTCCTCTGCAAGAACATTAAGTGCTCATAACCACTGAGCCATCTCTCCACCTCCAAATGTTTTCTTTTAGTGACTAAAAGACTTGAATAAAGTTCTTTTTAAAAAAAAAAATTCTGTGTTTCTACCAGGAGAGTTGCTCTGTCACACCCGCTTATTGGGTACGGACTGGCTTGTTCCGAGAGGTGAGGGGTCAGGAGTTGGCCATACCTGATGGCTGTGTGAGGTGAGTAGGGTGGGGTTGCTCTTGCTGAAGGATGACATTAGTCTGAAGCAGTGGTTAGCTTCCTCCTCTCCTGCCTGCCTCATACACCCTCCTGGGCAGTCCCTTTGTGAAAACAGCTCAAGTAAGTCTAGGGAGTGCAGTGGTTTGCTTAAAGTCAACTTGTCACAAATTAGAATCACCGGTAGAAAGCCACACCAGGATAACCGTCCCGGTTGGGACGGACGACACCAGGGGACGACACCAGGAAGCAGCTCAGGAAAGGAGGGCCTGAAGGCCTAAAGATCCTTCACCTGGGCTCTCGGCCTTTCTGCTTGCCGCTGAAGTGACTTAGCCTCTCCACTGGCATCAAAACCAGCGTTTCCAGGCTTCTCTGGACTAAGGATGAGTGACCCTCTAGGGACACTCAGGTTTTTGCTGCCAGGTTGAGATTGCTGATGTGCCAGCCTCATGGACTGAGCAGCTTCTGGGCTGTGAGCCTCTCCAGTGAGAGACAGCTACCGGGGGACTGCTTCCACTGGTGAGCACCGAGCCTCAAGGGTTAAGCAACTGCTGGGCTCTCGGCCTCTCGGGAACAAGACGACTTGTTTACTATTTCACCACACATTAGATTAATGAATTTTTTTCATTTCTTTTCACCCTACCAGTTCTGTGCCTGCAGAAAACCCAACTCATACATGGAGATGTCTATAGTGCCTACAGCTCTTGGGATGCATAGCACCACAGCAAACCCAACAGGGCAGTCGGGCTGTTTGTCTCATAAACGCTCTGAAAAGCTCTAGATTAGACTGTTAGTGTTTGTCAGTGTAACAAACTGGAGTCATCTGGGACAAGGGACCCTCCACTGAGGTGGGCTTTTTGATGTGAGAGAGACTAGTCCACTGTGGTTGTGCTACCTGGGCAGGTGGCACTGAGCAAGCCATGGGGAGCAAGCCACATTTATTCATGACAGAGTGTTACATGTAAGTCAAATAAACCCTTTCTCCCCCAAGCTGCTTTTGGTGAGTGTTATACCACAAAAAGCACACTGCAGCAGCGGTCTTGGCTGGGCGAGGTGGCACATACCTGTGAGCTCAGCACTCCTAAAGTACAGGCAAGGGGACAGCGCTCAACACTACACAGCCTGGGCTACCTGGGATCACAGCTTAAAGCAAACCAAACCAAGCTTTCTAGAATCAGACCCTGACACCAAGGGCTTCTGAGCAGCCCTGAATCCCAGGGCCTGCTAGAGACAACTCACTTGTTCTGACCTCTGTCCTCACAGCTCCTCAACAGTCAGCCAGCCTGGGACCCTGGATCTCATGGTCTGCAATTCTGCGTGAGGCCTTGTGTCAGGACTCCTAAGTTGCAAAATGAGAGCTCTGGAAAAGGCTTCTCGGATGAGGTCTAGCAGAGATCAAGCCATTTCTTCTTCTCTCTCACACAGAGGCTTCTGAGAACATGTATAAACAAAGGCCTGTGTACAGGTAGGATTGCTGATCTGGGTACCACTGTGATCCAAGCACTGTGTAAATCTGATCTAGAAGACCAGAATTGGGCCACTGTGGTAAAGGTAGAAGGGGCAGCCTCTAGAACTCTGCTTGAAGGCCTCTAATCTAGTAGGCTAGCACTTACTGTGAGATATCAGAGAGCACCAGGATGCTTAAGGCTCTGTCTCTGAATGAACGAGGTGGGATTTTGGCAGATTCGTCTCTGGGTTGGTCATCTCGGGAAGGGCTGCAGGAACCTAAGCTTGCCTTATGCACTGGGCACTGGTTTCTATGGCCTAGCACCACCTGCCTGCTCTGCCCCACCCCTGGCAACCTACCACTCACAGAAAAGTTACCTTCACTATATTATAAGAAATGAATTTAATCTCTAAAAACACAGATGACAAGATAGTAATTGTTGGGGAGTTTTGTTGCTGCTTTTGTTTTTGAGACAGGGTCTCACATACAGCCTAGGCTGGCCTCAAACTCACCTTGTAATCTTCCCGCTTCAGCAATCTGAGGTTACAGGCATGTGCCGCCAAACCTGGCTGGATTACGAGGTTAAATGTTATAGCAACACTTTTTTCTTGCCCTTATGAAAAGCACCATCTGGTGTGCTCCTGTGGCAACAAAAGTAGAATGTTCAAGTTTAGACCGTGGTGTACTGTTTGTTAATGGCAGAGCTGTATGGCTGACCCCAATACAGAAGCTGGTGGGCTGGCTTACAGTGGAATCATCAAGTGGGTCTCCTTCTCATAGATGTCTGGGATCAGTCCCATTGGAGAGTTAATCATCTGCATTGTGTTCTTGCCAAACAACTGGTACTCATAATGGATGAGCTGCTCCCAAAAACCACTGTTGGGCCGGATGATGGGCCTGCGGGATTTGGTCCACGTGTGGGCATCTAGAAGGGACATGGCGTGGTACTTCATGAGGTAGGCAAGGCACAGGGCAGCTGAGCGGCTCACGCCGGCAGCACAATGCAGCAGTGTGCGGCCCTGCTTCATCTCCACCGAATGGATATGGTCGGCAATGGGGTCGAAGAAATCAGAGAGGCGTGCAATGGGCACATCGACCACAGGCACCTGCACATACTCGATATCCTCATAGAAGGTGTTTGCTACCTCTACTGAGACGTTGATGACTGTGGTGATCTGATTGCTGGACAGTAGGAGTTTGTTGTTGGCAGCCACACCATTGCTGATAAACAGGCTCTTGGTGATCTGTGAGAGGCCACTGATTGAAGGCTGCGGGAACTGAACCGGGAAGGCACTCCAAGGTGAAGTCATCAAGGTGAAGCTCAACAGTTCGTGATGTGTTAAGCTTGCATCCTTTTGCTACGCTGTGCCCACTGAACCCTGCAGGAAAGAGGAGAAAGTTTGGAGGGTAAGAGGAAGACTTCTGGAAAATGGATGGCTGGGTCTCTAAGGTCAGAGGCAGTCCTTTGACCATCAATGGAGAAGTACAGCGGAGAACTCAGTGGTTACAACAAAGTTCACATCACTGAGCCCGAACTGTTACCTGTACCCTGGGGGTCTTTTCACATAAGAAACACTGGAGGAAGGGGGTCAGCCATGGCCAGAGAGACCATGAACTATGGAAGGGGCCTTGGGTTTACCTGGGTAGTTAGGAGCGGTTTCAGCCTCGGAAAGAACATTAGGATGGATATCTTCGGATTATGTTAAACAGAACTGGACCCAAAGGTTAAAGGTGACAAGAGGGAAACTGATATGCCAAGTCTTTCCATCTTCTCATAACTAGTCAGCAGGTCTAGCTGTTTTCAGCAGAAGAGGGCCTGGTCCCTCAAGGATGCCCTGACAACTGGTGTCATCTACAGCACAGCTAGTGGGAACCTCATCACATTCCCTGCTCAGCTGTGTGACTTCTAACATTAACAACCTCTAAGCCGTTAAAACAGAGAGAAAGCAGGAAAGAGGCTAGGTGATGGTCACCTGGAACATGAGCATTCAGGAGGTACAGAGAAAGGTGGGGCCTTGTTTCATGGGCTCCGCCTCCCAACAAAGAGCCAAGGAAACAAACTACAGGGTTTTGTTTTGATTTGATTTAGTTTTTTCTTTGTCGTGGAAACAAAGCTGTTTTCTTAAAATTAACCTTTGAGAATTGGGATTTCCCAGGCAGACCAGTTTCAGCTAGAATAATGACGTCATCTATCTTAATCCTCTCAATGAAAAGGCATTCAAGGCAATCTCAGGCCAATCAGTTATTTTTCCACTGTTCTGTCTCTCTGTTCCAGCCTTCCAAGGAATGTGACTTCCAAGTGACCGACAGTTTTGTTTCTGCTCTCTTCAGTCCTTTTCTATCCATAAAACCACAGACCTTCTCTGCTTAGTTCAACGGAACATTCTATCATCCAGAGTGAAATGCTGTGCAATTTTAGAATAAGAAATAAAGCCAAATGAGATCTTTAAACTGTTGATCAACAGGGGCAGCACACCTACTTTATAGACTGATGAACTGAGGTAATACAAGTGCTTGTAGTAAAGTTAAAATGCAAAGCCTTGTGGGAATGACAAATGAAGGCATTTGTTTCCGGCTAGGGAGTTGCAAAGATAGTAGGAAGCGGTCACAGACAGTAGGAAATGGTAGAGCAGACTGGAAGCTGAGGCAAGAAGATGGTGGTTCCTGACCAGCCTGGGCTAGACAAACAGGGAGGGATGGGAGGTTTGGGGGAAGGGGAGGAGAGGAAACAGTAACTTCATCACCAATGTTTTTACAGTTTACAACCAACCAGGCTTTCGGCATCTAGTTAATTTGTATCCATGAAACTTGAGACTCGAGTAAAATCAGTTATTTCTGGTGGATTACACTTTCTGGAGAAAGTTGGCAAATATGGGTGGGGCGTTGGTTAAATTCTGGGTTATAAACGTGGAACAGAGTCCACAAGTAGATGAGTGGAAGTGCCACATCATGCCTAGGAAGCTTCCTAGAGAGCTGGCCTCTCTACGTGGTGACAAGACTCAAACGATCTTACCTCCTTCCCTCAGCACCCAGGAAATCTTTCAGGAAGCAACCGCAGGGCGGAGCCGCGGGCAACCCTCTCCAAGAAAGAGAAGGCCCTTCATGATTCCGGATCTCGGTAGCAACGGCTTCTCCTCGAGGAACTATGGGCAGTTCTAGGCTTAGGGGGATCCCGCGACTGATTCTGTACCTCGAAGGACTCGCGCGGTTCCCAGACGTCTCCGAAAAGTTGGGTGGGCTGCAGCAGAGCGTACCGGCCCGTCTCCACGGAAACGCGCCAAGCAGCCGGAAGGACCATTGCTAGGCCCACCGCCTGCACGCCCCGCCCACTCGCCCGTCTGTCTCCTAGGCAACACGCCCAGCCCAACGTCACAAAGAACGCCAAAAGACTGTCTCGCGCTCCGCCTGCAGGTCCTCCGCTTTGCACGTCTCCCAGGCAACGCGCAGAGTTCCGCCCTAGACTCCAGTGTAGATAGTCGCTCCGCGTCCGCGTGTCTTTCCGCCATGGTTTTCCGCGTATCTAGCTTTCCTGAGTCGTTCTCTAGCCCGTCAGAGTCCTCTACACAGCCCAGAAGACCTTCGGTCAAATGGGACTTGGGCTCGGATTACGAGGACGTTACCGAGGAGACTACTGCTTCTGGCTCGAACTTCCGGCGCGAGAGATTAGACAGCCAGCCGGATCTTGGCCTCCACATCCAACCGCAGATCTACTTCCTGCGGCCGCGGTCCCCAATCCCCAAGTTGTTATTCAGGTGTGGCTCGGGTGTACAAAGCAGTTGTCAGACCCTGTATTCCTAAGGGAATCCGAGCTTTCAGACTCACGTTGCCCCAGCCGTGGCACCCCACCTTCGCCCACACGAGTTCCTCAGATCGTAGCAATGTCGGGATTTTTCAGACCGAGGCCAACCCATAGGACCTTTAGAAGCCCGATCTCTGGATCGAAGGCGCTGTCCCATGTCCAGCCCTCCGAATGAATCCCGACCCGAGCTTACTGTAGGCTTGATTGAGCTTTCTTGCGGTCTGAGAGCACTTTGTTTCAGGCAATTGGTCTCAGGCTCTAATTTTTTTTTGACAACACCAGGCCTTTCCATTCTCCAATGTCCTGGAAAAGCCTTGAGTTCCCCAATGTTTGGCTCCAATCTTGTCCCCCTTCCTCAAACCTTCTCCCAGCATCAGCCAAGGATGTAATAAGTCCTACAGAGGATTTGTTATGGAAACACAATTTGATTCAAAAATGACCATTATTTATTACTTGAAAGAGACTACTTTTAATCTTTCTCCTATTTCATTTCCAATATTGATAAATTTGGTGCATCACTGAGTAAAAAGGATCTTTAAATATTTAGGCTCTTTTTGGTTGAAAATAGGATTTAGACTTGTGTGTAAATTCCTGACCTTTGAATCTGTTTTCTCATCAGCATGGGTATGTTGAGTCATCCTGCATAAAAGCCAGAAAAATGGAACTAGGTGGCTTTCCATGTTCGGTTCTTTGTATTAGTAAGCACGCCCAGACGACAGTTGTTTCTTACTGATAAAAGAATGAATTGGAAACATTTTTATAACCCCCCTAAAGGTTCTTTGTTTTCTTCTTGACTGAACATGGTTGCAGAAGCTTGTAATCAAGCACTTTGGTGCTGGAGGCTGGAGGATTGGAAATTCAAGGTCATCCTCAGCTTAAGAGGGAGTTCTAGGCCAGCCTGGATACATGAGACCCTGTTACAAAATATACATCTTTTTATTTGTTGGGTTTTTTTTGGTCTAATTATAAACATAGTGTGTTTTATGATGATCTTATTCTGATGTGCTAACCAATAGAGACTGAGTTTAATATAAGCTTTCATGTTTGTTCCTTCTGTTCCTGTGTGTAACAGACAGCCATTTCTGTTTCAATCAATTCATGTGTGTGTGGTTCTTCCCTCTTTGCTATGGTTTGTTTGGGAATCTGTATTTGGGAACACTTCACCAGCATGTCTGTCATTTCTCTGGTTTCCTTTAAAGTGGTTTGTCAATCATTGCAAAAGTAAACCGCACTCAACAACAACAAACCAAACAGAAGTCACAACAGCAAACCAAACGCTGTTAACATTTTGATGTATGCCTATCTGTGCTTGTTAGTTTTTGTCAATTTAAAACCAACTAGAGTTACCTGGGATGAAGGAACATCAATTGGGGAATTGCCTACAGCTGATGGCCTGTGGGCGTGTCTGTGGGGCGGTTTACCTAACGATTGGTGTGGGAGCATATAGGGCACTGTAGGTGGTGCCACACCTGGGCAGGTGGTTGGGTTGTATAAGAAGGCCAGTTGAGCACGTCATGAAGAGCAAGCCAGTAAGCAGCCTTCCACAGTGGTCTCGGCTGTGGCTCCAACCTCAGCCTTACTTGATGAGTGACTGTAACCTGTAAGCTGAAGTAAGCACTCTCCTCAAGTTGCTTTTGGTCAGTATTTTAAAATAGCAACTGACAGGCTAAGATAATCCGTATCTAAGTATATCTGTGTTATATTTTAAGAAAACATACAACACAAAAATCCACTCTTTTTTTTTTTTTTTCAAGACAGGGTTTTTCTGTATAGCCCTGGCTGTCCTGGAACTCACTCTGTAGACCAGGCTGGCCTGGAACTCAGAAATCTGCCTGCCTCTGCCTCCCAAGTGCTGGGATTAAAAGTGTGCGCTACCACCGCCCGGCAAATCCACTCTTTATTAAACAGTAATTGTTGTTTTGTTGCAGTGGCCGCAACTTTTTTCTCTCTCTAGTTATTATACCAAGATATTTATACTTGATTACATGTATTATATCAACTGACTTAGCAGAACTATCCACTTGGCTTCCAAGTTTTAGAATGTATGAACAATTGTTTTTTAAATGGGAAAAACCGTTGAAAAACACGTCATAGTTTAACTAAATTATCAAAAAATGAGAACCTATGGGCTAGCAACATCATCTGTTATATGTTGAGACATGTAGCCCAGGTTGGCTTAAACTTATAATGTAATTAAGAATGGCCTTGAACTTCTAATCCTCCTGCTTCTGCCTTCCAAGTGCTGGGATTATAGGTGAGTTTTTATTGATGCTAGAGATCACCAGGACCATGTGTGTGCTAAGCACATTCTACCAACTCATTGCCAGTTGCCCGTTCTGCTCACACTGCCCACGGATGCCGCAGGGCCCAGGATGCCTGTGGATACCAACATCCAACACAGCATGTCGGAGCACACTGAAACATTAACTTGACTGCATGGTTCCTGAGTGTGAACTTGGTCAATGGCATTGTTGTCTCGCAGTGTCAAAGGGTGGAACACACTTGTCAGAGTCCCCAGAAGTCCTGTAACACCCCAAACTTTCCTCATTTTTAAACATTTCCCAAACTCTTCCCTTAGACTTTACTTATTAGCTAAATCTGTGTCACCTAAATCCTCCCTCTCTCCTTCCTTCCTTCCTTCCTTCCTTCCTTCCTTCCTTCCTTCCTTCCTTCCTTCCTTCCTTCCTTCTCCTTTGATAGTTGCCTATGTAGTCCAGGCTGTCCTTGAACTCCCTGTCTTCCTGCTTTCCAGTTTCTCAAGTGCTGAGCTCACAGGCACGAACTAACACAGCCTATTTTCCTTTCCTTTCTCTTTATATTTTTCTCTCCTGTTCTGTTCTCTGCCCCCCTCCCAGATCCCCCTTAGATCTAGGCTGTGAAGGAAGAGTTCCCCACCTCTTCCTCTTTCAAATTCAACTTTTACCTCTACCTTCCAGCTTTTATTTGTTAAAGACCTCCCCCTTTGCTCTTACCTGGCATTTTCTCATTGAGCTGACCACTCAGCATTTTGGGGGTTGCTCAGGTGGAGAGTGCTTGACTAGCATTTGCAGCCCTAGGCTCCACCCCAGCACCTCCACTGAGGAACAGTAATAACAATGGCTGCCAGGGAAAGCATTGGCTCAGGACCTACCCCCAAGACCAAGTTTTCAGCACCAACATTTATTTGCTCCAGAGTGACAGAAGGCGGGAAATAAGAGACAAAGACAGGAGGTAGAGGATGAGGGAGAAGAGGAAGAGAACAGGGGAGATGGGACAGACGTATTTGTTCTGAAGGCAAAGGACTGCCTCTGGATAGAGAGGAGACAGACTTGGTGCATAGGAAATAGTGGTTTATAAAGGTACAATGGGAAATCCTGTGTTAGGATGAGGTGTTAAATTTTAATTGGGCATGTTAATATTAGGTGAGCCAAAGGAGGCTTTTAATTGCTGGACTTCAGTACTTTGATAGCTGGGCGTTGATAGTCAGCCTCAGGAGGAGGAAGTGGCCAAATGAGGGACCAGATCTTAGGGGCTGGCTTAGGGATGTGATTTGTTTTTAGCAAGGCAGAGGAAATGAGGGAGAAAGGCAAGGCCTGCCAGAGCCATGTTCTACATGCTGAAGCTGGCCAGAGGCCCTTCAGTAACAACAGTAATTATTCTGAGGACTCTGTGCCGCCACCTCTCTGTGGACTGCTTTGGACCTTTCTGTGTCCTCCCTGTGCTCAGGAAGCCGCCTTCTAGCTCACCTTGTCTGCAGGCAAAACTTGGTTTTTCACTCCTCTGAAAATGAGAAAACCACTCCTCTCGAAACCCGGGTGTGGTGGCACATGCCTTTAGTCCCAGTACTTGGGAAGCGGAGATAGGTGGCTCTCAATGAGTTCTAGGCTAGCCTGGTTTACAGTGAGTTCCAAACCAGTCAGAGCTACATAGCAAGACCCTGTCTCCAAAAGAAAACTAAATAAACCTGAAGAGGTATGTATCTTCCACTTTTCCAGCACCTATGAAATGAGGCCTCAAGCCGCTGTCTCTAACCTGTCCCATCGTCCCTCTCCTCTAGCTTAATGAATACCAACGATGCCAATGTGAAGAAGTTGTTACCCAAGAGCCATTTATCTCGGGTGATTATTCGTGACAACCTCAATGCACAGCGCATCTATGAGATGGAGGTAAAGTGTCTGCCAGGTTCTGTGCTGGAGCCTATTAGTGGCCTGACCACACACCCCATCTCTCCTCCCTCCCTCCCCCCCTCCCTCCCTCCCTCC